GGAAGATTAGCAAGAATGAGTGCAAAAGCAGACCGGCTGCCTTTTTAGGCAACCGTTAAAATCTGAATCTTATATTTTCGCTTTACTCCATTTCGGCTAAGGAAAGGGAGACTTTAGTTTCATAAAGTTTACATTTAGAAATATTTATTCTAATTCCTCTCAATTCAATAATTTTACGAAATTTTCTCGTTGAAAAGCATGACCTGGTTCGTTTCTGAAAGAAATAAAAATCAAATTTTTCTTCTTATCCCTACAGAGTTGCTTTGGCTTCCGTTAGGCAGTGTACGGTTTATCCTAATATTTTAACAGTTTTTTTTAAGTAAAGCTCCTTTCCTATCCATCCTAGTTTCAGTTTACAATTTCCTACCAGAATGCGTTTTTAGAATCCCGTTTAATGCAAATGAGTAGGAGTAGTATAAGTCGAAGTTCCACTGACTTCGAGATATGCGACATGCGACGGAGGACGTGGGCACCACCCCTCTACCAATACACCTCTACCAATTCGGCTGCATCTCTTTAGTTAAGCATTAGTTAAGTTCTTATTTTTACGCTTTTGAGTTCAAGCCGAAGTGGAGGCTTTGCTGCACGCCCTGAGAAAGGGGCCGACTGTTATTCTTTATTTTGAGCAATAAAGGATAATTAACCCTTCTTGAGATTTACGTTGCTGAACTAAAGCGATTATTCGCTTAGCTGTTCACTAGGTTCCTCTACACTTAAGTTGCAGATTGAAGGGAGGAACTCCACAGCATATACGGGAAAGGAATAGAAATGATTGAAAGCACGAAATCTGACAAAAGAGGAAGGAAATAGAAGCTAAAATTGAAATATAATTTGGACAAGAAACTGCAATATAGATCATAAATCTGAAAAACAACGAACAAATATTTTCAATAATGCACTAAAAATTATGTTTTTCTTTCCTTTACAAAAATTCTTATGGCTAGTTCACCACGTCATACCTGGATCATCTTATTTTGAGATAAATGTTTCCTGCAAAATATCGTAACAAGCCATATATTGATAAAAATTCAAGTATCATCTTAAACAATTTCGCAAGGGGTTAAAAAAAACAACGACTGAGCTTCATCGCTCCAAATCAAAACTTAAATGCATGCCTTAAGTTCAAAAAGCTTGTAAAGTATTTCCTACAGAATTGCTAAAGATAAGATTTCATTTAGCCTTTAATGACATAATGTTTTTCGTCGAACACTTAATTTAACCAAAGTATAACGTAACAGTTGGGATGGGAAAATTGTAGCTTTTTTCATCTATATGATAACTGTTAGTTTATTTGAATATTCAGAATGCCTATCAGCTGCAGAACATTAGTTGATCGCATTTTTCCTGCTTCTCTGAAACTATGTTTAATTTTGCAGAACTCATTTTAATGGATTGCGAAATTTTCCACTTCAAAGCTTAATTACTCAATCCCTCTCAACATATTTGCCATCAATTTCGATGCGCTGCAGAAGATGGGACCATTGCTTATAACACTTGCTTAAGATGAATCCTGTCTACCTGAACCTCAGTAGCAAATTTGGTTAAGCTGCGGAATCCTCGAACCAGCGAATTTTTGGCTTTTACTGAAAAATCGAGGATTTTATGAATCGAGTAAATTATGAAGGCTAAAATGATGCTATGAGAGCAGTCTACGAAGAGCTAGAAATTTGAAGAAATAAAGCTTTTGTGAGTGTTTGGAACAATGGAGACTTTGTCGGTAAAAAAGTAGGAAGAATAATAGTAGTTATATTTAATGACATTTCCGGCTCATCCATGTAGTTCGATATATTTATGATCTTCGTTTAGATAATATGCATTAAATTAAGACACTTTTAGATACACTTAAGACATCTTAGATAATACACACTAAATTACAAAATAATTCCATAAAAAGGCAACCCAGCAAAATCTATGACAAACATTTCAGGCTTTTAAGGATAGGATGATTGGTTTGGCTTACTTGAATATGGCAGAGCACACAAAGATACGAAGAAAAAAATTCCCAAATTAATTTTACTGTTAATTTTTATACTTTTCATAATAACAAATTATTTATACCATATACAACCTATTTTTTACTTTCAAGTTTATGCGATTGCTAATTTTTTAATAAATAAATATTTTTAATATAATATAATTACCCAAAGATTAATCTCATTTTCTTCTAGTATAGATGATGCCTTTGTTTTAAGTTTATAGGAATGTAGAAAATATCTACAAATGAAATAATAGATTTGTTGCTTATTATTATGTCTTATCAACATTGTCCTACTTCATAAATAATTCACGGTCAAATGTGCCAGTCATTGACTTAAGATCTTGACATCGATGATAACGCATGCCCATATCTACTCTGTTTAACCCCTTCGATTCAAAAGAATGTTCGTCTGTATAGATTTCAAGTAGCCTATACTACTTGAAAAGCTAAGGTATTATAGTTACAAACACTTATAACTCAATCCGATATCTGACTTCGCCTAACAACATAGCAGTCAAATTTTTATGATCACCACGCCGTCCTAGGCGGCAAAAATGATTTGCAAAATTTATGACAACAACAAAACTATCGAAATTTTATATTCAGGCTTTACTTCGATGAATATTATAGAAAATCTTGAAAGTGTATTTATTACCATCTAACAGAAAATAAATAAGCAATTAAAAAGTACTTATCATCTTACTATTTATTCAAATTAATTACAGTCCTTGCTTTTTTTCAGCTTCAAGCTTTATATCGAGATTTTGAATTTCGTCTGCATAATATGGCCAGTGGCTAAAAGGCTAAACTCGCAAAACCATTACTTAGAATTTATTTCCAGCAGGCGACTACATTTTTTGGTTTCATGAGATTATTCTGGCATATGAGTAACGTAAGAATAGATGAATTTCCTTTTGTAAATCTTTATCGAAGGCATACTTCTTTCTCTGCAGACAGCCTTCACATGCTTTCAGTTATTTAGTAACTTCAATCTAATTAGTGAATCAATATTATTTTTAAAAACTTTTATAATTAACAACTCGCTAAGCTAAAAATAGCATTTCGGGTTTATCTCGTCTTAAAATTTGAATTCATTTATTTTTAATCTATTTAAAAAAGATTTATGGAAATTTCTTTTAGTGTTTCGTTAAAGCATATAAAGTCTGAATCGAATGAAATCTGAAAATTGCACTATTCCCATTCATTGTATTTTTTGCTCATTATAATCAAATCAGCAAAAGTCTTAAGAAATGAATGAAACTCAATTGACGTGAAATAAAATAGTGAAATTTTTTTAATAATATATATATTTTATAACTTTTAGAAAATTAAAAAAAACATTTTTATATAATTAATAATAACATATAATAATTAAAATTCCCTGAATATATATGTACACAAACACACCCCCGCAAATGTAAATTACAAGCTAACTCTACGACCAAAAGTTTTTGGATTTTCACACCAGAGGGCGTGGCATCTCTATAAAAAAAGAACAGAATGCATTCTAAGCTATTAATAGACTATAAAATTATATTTTTAAGCTACAGTTCTCAAAAATATTCCCCGCTTTATGAATTTAAATATTATAAATTCAGGAAAAATTTTAATTTTGCATAGTTTCTGAATGAAAATTTTTGATAAATATTTTAAATGTTTTTTTTTGAGGGGGGAGAGTAATACAAGACCTAGCAATATTATAAGAGTAATCAAATGCACATTAAATTGATAGCTATGGAACTGCATCAAAATGTTTGTCGCATAATTTCGTGCATTTCGAATTCGAAGGGACACTGAAGATAGTTTTTTAATATTCATCTGCAGATATGAAATGCAATGTATACATTCAATTCAATTTGGAATTAATTTAAATTCTTCTCTTAACAATTAAACTTGAGAAAAGTTACTTAAATATTATTGTTCATCTCAGCATGCAAAATACTTTCCGTTTATATTTTTTCCGTGAATGTAATTTTATACTAATAAATAAATTGTTAGCCTAATCGCGAACAAAAATCTACGATAATTTTCTAAACATAATTACAACATTACAACGACACATAATCTTCATCTCTCAGCCACAACTGATCACTAAGCAGATTTCTCTAATGATATGCTAAGAAAAGCCAAATTACGGAGAGAAAACTTTAGAAATTAACAGATTGGTTGTCACTGTATGTATGAAATTTATTGCTTGGGTGATACGTTTATTAAATACTCTAAAGTAACTGGCACATGCCAAAAACACGAATCTGTAAAATCACAGTTTCAGGCAGGGGGAGACACTGTTTGATTTTGAGAAAAGTTGAGTCATGGCTTACCTATAAGAGAAAATTTTTGTGAGTACTTAACAGTATTTAACTTCGCAACATCGCATTTCTTGTTTACTGCAGCGTATAGTATTGAAAAACTAGTACAGAAGTTAATGAAAGTGCAAAAAATACACTTTTGATTCTGATATGGTTCAAACGTGTATAGATATTACATTATTATTTCTACATTTGTTTAAGAATACATAGGATTTTCACACCATATGCTCAAGTTTTACTGAATATCATCTACCACAGTTATGGCAAGCAATGCGTTAAATATTATAAAATTTTAATGAAACGAAGTACACAGCATTAACTTTTCACAATTATATTTAAATATCTAAAAATAAACGAGTATCCATAATAATTACGATTTTAATTGCTTTTACTGTTTGAATGACAGAACTTATTTAACTTATTTATTTATTTATTATTTTGACAGAATTTATTTAACAGTTGATTAAATGACATAGTCAATTTATTTATGAATTATGAATTAAAATTAAATTCATCCCCGAAGTTTTAAGATAAGCATTTTTGTACTAAGGCATGTTTATAAAATCATTTCAACTATCGAATAAACACGGGTATGAAACACACATATGAGAAACAGAAGTCTACAATCAAATTGTTATATTCAGATTTTTTCAGCTTTTTCAAGATATATTCAATATAATTGACACTAATTTTAGTGCAAAAGCAGCACTTACCCGAGATTTCGCATAAGGTTAAGGTTTTTCAAAAATTGAGATATCACACAGACTAAATTTTCTTCCGGCACTGCAAACTAAAATGTGTGTCGGGCAGCAGGGAGAGCGCGATTTTTTGCAGTTCCCACCAAGACTAGGCTCTCTTCTCGACTGTTGTATTTTTAGACCACCCGTTAGTCAAGAGATGACTCTAGATCGGATATCCAGGGCCATTTTTGGAGCACGCGCCCGCCCCCCTATACTGGCGTAGGCCTCGTTACGCAATTGAAAGGAAGGGAAATCATGGTAATTGCACAAATTGTACTGAAATTTACATTTATGACATCACCGCAACGGCGTCATTAGATATTAATTGGGGACTTTGTCAGATGTGTTTATTTTTCAACTCCCCCCCCCACAAGCTTGCTACATCCTCTGAACCACTAACGATTTCCTATGACTTAACAACCTCGCTATCTCATCCAATCTAATTTCTTGACACCACCTGTAGCAAATTATCACAAATTCGTATACCTTTACATTACTTTTGTAGACAGAAATGTTTATAGTATTCAATATTTCTTCGTAAAACTTAAATAACTATATACTATCAGTTTTTTTACACTTAATATTTTTTTCGTAAAATCCAAAACTAATTTTCAGTTGGTCTGAATTTTCATCTTTGAAAAGTATGACGATATTGATTTTATTTATATATTTAATTCATCTTTTAAAGCTGACAGCAGTTTCTAGGAAAATCTTACACTTCTTGTACATTTCATAGAACTTAGTTTCTTAATAAATTCCTACAATTTACTTCGCAAGCAACTTTTTAATTTATGAATACAATAGAGTTATAAATAAAGTTCACTTTTTTAATGGTAGTTAAATAAAAAATAATAATTTTCAACTATTATGCGCGGATCAAAGTGACCGGAGTAACATACTTTATCAGATGACAACACTTATTTACTGGAGAGCTATTAAAAGTGTCTCGGTACCTTTATAATTTCCAATGGAACGTACTTTGTTTCCAAATGAAACCAATAATAATATCCATTATGATTTCATTTTTTAAAGTTGACAGCTGCTCCTATGAGATAGTTTACAAACTGATTCGTGTATATTTCATGGTATTATTTAGTCTCTGAATAAGTTCCTACAATTTACTTTACCAGAAAATGTTGAGTTTATGAATTCAATGTACCACACATAAAGAGTCTCAATTTTTAATAGTAGTTAAACAATTAATCTTCAACTGTTATGGACGGGTAAGAGTGACTAGAGTAACATACTAGTTTACCAAATGATGGTATTTATTTACCGATGAGTATCAAAAGTGTCTCAATACCTCCAGCAACCATTTCCATTATATAACCGAATTTTCAAAGTGCTTGTAAAAAGAAAAAACTATGTGTATGTAGTACTCATAGATAGTTATAACAACCACACCAACACACAAGACTTTTTCCTATGCCATAAAACAAAGTAATTGATCTTTAAAAAAATTGAGGTTGTCTTGTTGAAGACGTTACAAAAAACGTGGCGCTAGGTTAAATATAAGGGAAAACTATGAAAATCTTCACGCAGATATCGGAACTTGAACCTTAAACTCAAATTGTAGTACTGTGTGGCTTCATTGCTTAGGTTACAAGATAATTGAAAATACAATAAAACAAGTAATATGTACATTTATAAATACGGAAGAAGCACCAAATAACAAAAGTTTTTAGAAATATCAGATACTCTTTCTTTGATTTTTAATTTCTATAGAATAGTATGAAAAGATATAAAATCTAGCAACTACAAAAATTAGGGAAAGAAAACTAATAAAATTTTATTAATGTGTAAAAAGCTTATACAAAGTACTTAAAATTTTGTAGTACTTATCTGTCTTTTTGATCTGTACATAAATATACTATAAAAATGCAAGAAGTTTGACCTCCCTCATGACAAAAATTGACTATGATATTTAATTTCAAAATTTGCAATTTATTGATGTCATTTTCAACTTCCTTGAGGAATCTGTTAATTAAGTTAGAATAATTTGAGGAAATAATAAGCCTACATATAAAAATACGGAAAACTGGCCAGTTTGTCACGATACTTCAGAGAAGGTTGATTTAAATTTACTGGGCGGAATCATTTTCATTTAGTAAAATAAAAAGAAACAAAGTAAACACAAGAACATTAAAAAATTAAAGATGAAGTGGAAGCAATATTGAATCCTTTGCACAAAAAAATAAACATATGGACAGGTTGCATTGAATAGATAAGAACAATTGTATCATGGCAATAAATGAGAGTAGGCAGCAATTTCACCAAAATGTATTACTGAAAACACACCCCGGAAACAGACCAAAGAATTAAATTTAATGACAATTATTTCATAAAAGCCAAACAATTACTGTTGGGTCATTAGACTTCTTGTTCCCCAATATTTTTAAACAGTGCTATTGAAATGAATTAATACAGTTCCAATAATTAGCCGAGAGTAGCTTTTACTTCCTTGTACGAAGTAAAGGAACTATTGTAATCGCAAAAAGTTCCGGTTTTCAGATTTCAAAGAAAATATCCATTTAATATATTTTTGCGTGACCTCTGTACATATAAGAGTAGACAGAAAAAGGACTCCTTATTCCAAAACGGATAATCGTAAAATAGATTCAAAATGGAATTTTTCGTGACGTCGGCATGTACATATGTATCTTACCTCAAAAACGATTAGCCGTATAATGTTGAATTTTGTACATGGGACTGCTATAACTTTTAGCTGTGCACAATTTTTTATTGTAATCGGCAATAGAAAAGTATATATATATATATATAAGCCTTCTCCGGCTTAAAAGTCCCTATCCGGCCCTTTCTTTTCTTAATCATTGATTGTAGACATATACTTCTGATTTCAAAAGTGTTTTAAACGACGAAAATATTCATGTTTTGGTATTATTTTCAAACTTAAAATAATTAAATTTGGACAAATAAGGAATTTTAACTTTTAATGTGGTTTCCAGTTCTTATACTTGGGAAAGTTTTATACTCCTTATGAAAAACTAAAAAAACATGAAGTTTGACTTCCGTACGACAAAATTTGACCGGGATATACCATCTCATGTAAATCTAAAATATAATGACATAGCTGATAGACTACCAAAGGAGGGTACTTCCATGCCTCAGGTTAATGTTGAACCTTTGACCTACCTTTAATTCAAGAATAAAGTTTTAATTAACAATTCTTGGAGAAAACTATCGACACACTCATGGTATCGTAGAACAGGTCCTGGTAGTACTATTGGTTTCAATGATGACAGAAAGGATCAAACGGCTCTGGCTCTGTTGACTTTTAAGGACCCTCAGATGAACTTCAGGACATTTAAGGACTCCTGTGATACTAAAGCGTTTGACACTTGCGCCAAATGTAAAAACCATGAAGCCATTTCGCAACATCTACTTAGTTGTGTTGCCTTGGTGCGTGAATATCTGCTGAATAAATCTAATTTCGTATTCGATTCAGATCAAACGGATTGGTAAGAAGAAGACATCAGCATAGTTAGACAACTTCTATCCCTTTAATTTTGAATTAATTTCCATCTGAATATTTATTATTAGTTATTTTCTACATCAAAATCACAACTTACCTTTCATACTGACTTCCATTTTCTAGCCAATTCTAATTATACCTTACTGTATCTCTCTATGGTAAAAATCTCGATGCTTTGACAATTTATTCTGAGCAATATACCTTTCGGTGACAATTTATTTTTTCCTGGAGACGCCGGATTAGTTCCATGACATTATGGAAAAAAAATTAAGATATAATGTAAAATTCTAAAAAAATCCGTATATTGATCTTGCATTTAATAATTAATAATTCTATTGCTATAATAATCTTTTCTACTGAGCAACCTCTAAACGATAAAGAACAAAGCAAAACAAAATCTCTTCTTGTTTCCCCTTCAATAGAAATATATAATCATTCACGATTTGGTATCTAGCCTGAGCTATGGTATGTTTAATATGAAAATATTTAATACATGTTTTACAATTAATGTATTTAACAATTTTTTAAATGACAATATATAATACTTCACACTGTGACTCTTATTATTACACTTTTCAAAACAATAAAACTAAACCAACTGAGAATTAAGTATTGGATAATCCAAAGCTGTTTTCACAATCCACTAGACCAGTGGTTTCCAAACTTTATTTTATCACGGCTCCCTTAAAAATATTTGATCATATGGCGTCTCCCTTCCATTTTATAAAATACTACAAACACAAAAATTTTTAGTACTAAAGAATTTATTAAGATACACTCTTATACACAAGAAACAACGAATAACAATATTTTACTATTGTCGCTTAATAAGATGGATGTGCTTGCCTATTAGCGCAAATCTCAGTGTCATTGATGAGATAACTACACGAAGCTCCTTTTCTACAACCAAACGAACACGATATTTCGATTTTATTGCAGCTAATGCAGAGAATCCTGTTTCGCATAAAAAAAGATGTTGCGAACGGCAGCAATACTTTTAAAGCTTTATTTGACAAAATATTATATTCACTCTTAATATCTAGCCGAAATTGAATCAGAAATACATTCTGAAATTTTTGTTTTAAAGAAGTATCACAAGATAGTTCAATCAAGTTTTCTTTCTCAATCCTAGTTAATTCAAATTCGTCATCTTTGTCGATAAATGGATCCTGTATCCACGCATATTTTGTAAAATCAAAATCATCAAAATAATTTGAAAAATGAATTAACAAACCATCCAAGTGTTCAACAAATAGATTTTTGTTTGCTTCTATATTAACTTGGGCGCATAAATTTAAAAGTGGAAAAATGTCGAACCTATGTTTTTTAAATTTGTCATCCATATCTCCATTTTTTAATGAATGCTTTCACTTTATCTTTTTGAATCAATAAATGCATTTGTGGCCCTTGCATCGATTTATTCAAAACACTCAGTTTTCCAAAAATTTAAACCAAATAGGTAAGTTTGATAATAAAAATTACCATCGCTAAACATATTTGCATCCTCATTATGATTTTCTTCGAGAAAAACTGCAATTCCTTCTTTGAGTTCAAGTACCTTCTGAATCACTTTTGCACGAGATAGCCAGCGCACTTCACAATAATACAAAAGTGAGGTGTAAGCAG